AAAACACTATTTTTGTTCTTGTTGTTGGTTGGTTTTTGTTGTGATTGTTGATTTTTGCTAGTCCTGGGGCATGAACCCAGGGCCTCAACACTATGCTTAAGCACTTTTACTCAACGCTACTACTCTACCATTTGAGCCACAGCTCCAATTTACATTTTTTGGTAATTTACTAGAGATAAGAGTCTTTCAAATTTCCCTGTCACTGCCGACCTCAAACTGTGATCCTCATATCTCAGCCTCTTAAGTGGCTGTTTTGAGTGTGAAAAGTGGAATACTTGGTAGGCAGTGGCTACCTCCCCCAGCCAACACATGCCTGAAGGTTCTCAATTAGCCACAGAGGCCAGAGGAGTCAACAAGTAGTTATTGATTTCAGTTTCAGCTACCATCAAAACTTATCGATCAGAGAGATAACTATTGATCACACTGAAACCAAGGTCAAGGCTGGCCTCCTGGGGTGAAATAAATCTTCATAGTCACCAAACCTGCAGATGCTAGCTAGGTGTGATGTTTTTTTATTCTAAAACTGCTGGTCAGACCAAGGCATAGTTGAGGTCATTTCTTGACTGTGGATTGTTACCAGTGAAAAATGATAGCCCAGCTGACTTGTTTCTAGGGAATTGGATATAAAATTGTTTAAAAACTCTTCATATATTAAACATCCAAAGGATAAATCTGATATTAAAAAATTGTTATTAAGAATACTCTCATTAGAGAGGGGAAAAAAAACCAGGAGAAAGCGAGGGAAGGGGTGACTACATTGTCCAAAAAGAAATGTACTCTTTACCTGACTTACATAACTGTTACTCCTCTGCATATCACCTTTATGATAACAATTTTAAAAAGTTTTAAAAAGAACACGTTCATTTAAAAATCCTTTTGAAATACATAGAACTGTCCTGATCTTTCTGTGAAATTAAGAATTATTTATAGCTTATTTTATATCTTCTCATCTTCGCTTTTCTATTTGAAGTTTACTAATGGTAAAAAAAAATGCCTTGTTTGATAATAGTAGCTATTTTCTAATAGCTTCCTTTAATAGCTTCCTTTCTCCCTCCCTTTCTTCCTCCCTCCCTCCTTCCCTTCCTTCCTTTCTTCCTTCTTCCTTCCTTCCTTCTTCCTTCCTTTTTTGGTACTGGTTTGGGGGCTTGAACTCAGGGCTTTGCTCTCCCACTTAGCTTTTTCATTCAGAGTTGATGCCCTGTTATTTGTACCACACCTCCACTGCTGGCTTTTTGCTTTTTAACGGAAGAGAAGAGTCTCAGGAATTTGCCTGGGCTTGCTCTGCCCAATGATACTCAGAGTCCAGCATTCTTTAGTACCTGGGATTACAGGTATGAGACACCAGTGCCTGTCAAGGGCTCACATTTTTCCCCAGGGCCAGTATATGATTGAGATCCTCCTTCCTACTACCTTCCCTGTAGCTGGGATGACAGGTATAAACTACCACACCCACTTTATTGGTTGAGATAGGGTGTCATCTTATTTGCCCAGCCTTGATCACTTCAACTCTGCCTTCTAAGTAGCTGAAATTACATAGGTGAGCCACCGTGCTAGGCTAAGAAAGTCTTCAGTACTGTACAATTAAAAAAAATCTTTGGCTGAGTTCCAACCCAGAGTAGCATGCCAACTCAAACAAACAGAAATAAATCAATAATGATTTATAATGGAGTTGTTGTTTAAAATTATTTTGGTTCCAATCTATTAATAAGTGACCAAACATAACCTGCTTAAGACAGTATTTTACAGCCACGAATTGCACAATGGGTATGTGTTTTTGCTCAACAGATAAAGGGGGGGGGGCCTCACAGGCTGCAGATGAGAGACAGAGTTGTTTGGCCCAAGTTTATTGACACTTTCTCCTATAGCTGATTGTAGGCACTTTAGTACTCTGTATAAACTGGGGGTCTGTGTCCTTGTGTGCAAAACTAGAGTGGAAGGAAGGAATCCGACTACAATGTTTAGATATGATGCCATCTATGATTGGGTTACATGAACAGAACTTCAATACACTGCTTCTGCATACCTGGAACCCCCAATCCTCTCTCCCCCCATTCTCTTTCTCTGATGCACTCATACCGGCTGCTAAACAATATTAGCAATAACACAAATAACAATGATTAGAAACTATAAAATATCAACTAAACACCTCTGTATCCATACTAAGAACAAGGAATTACTGGATTCATAGTTACAGAAAGAGTAGTTCTTCCATATAGAAGAATTCTAAGTAATAAATAAAGAATGATCAACCAAGAGAAATAGAAAGTGATCATTAGAGGCCAGGCACAGTGACTCACTCCTGTAATCCCAGGTACTCATAAAGTCTGGGTCTTAGTTTGAGCCTGGCCTGGGCAAAAACATTGCAAGACACCATTTGAATCAACAGTCTGAGCCTGGTGGAGTATGCCTGTCATACAGCTACATGCTGGGGGGTGGGGAGGGGCATGTGAATAGGAGGATTGTGATTATGGCTTAGATAAAATGTGATACCCTATCTGAAAAATAGTTAAAATAAAAACTCTGGGAAAATAACCAAAGCAATTCTGGGAGCATGGTTCAAGTGGTAGAATGCCTGTCTAACAAGTATAAGGTCCTGAGCACTACTCCCCTTTCCCCTAAAAAAAGTTGTCATTAGTGTGCTATAGTGGAAGTCTGAAGGCAGAAACTGACAAATGCAAAGTTAGGGGCCCACGTTCAAGGAAAAATAAGATCACACAACCTCCACAGATCACCCCTAAGGTGACTATTAATAATTATTTCTCTTTGGAAGATGGAGCTTTGACCCCTGCCTCTCTCTCTCTCTCTCTTTCTCTCTCTCTCTCTCACACACACACACACACACACACACACACGTGCCTTGCGTGTGAACTAGGGGTATGGGCTGGCTTCTGACATAGGAGAATATGAAGGAAAAACCAGAAATGCGACCATGTAGAAGCTGCCTGGCCTGACCTTGAGCATGGTGTGAAATGGTCATTATAGACACACAGCAACTCTCCTGAATCAAATCCCCAATTGCATTTCTCATAATCTCCTTAACCTCGTTCAACCTCAGTCAAAAGAAGAAAAGGCTAAACAAACAATACTGCATGTTATAGCATCTTCTTACCTGCCTTTATTTTATTATTAGTTCTTTTCCTATCTCCTATAATAAATGCCTCATTTGAAAACACAACACCATTAAGCAGGGCACCAGTGGCTCATGCCTGTCATCCTAGCTACTCAGGAGGCTGAGATCTGAAGATTGAGATTCGAAGCCAGAAAAATCCCTGAGACTCTTGTTTACACTAAGTAGCAAAAAGCCTTGTGTGTGGGTGTGGCTCAAATGGTAGAATGCCAGCCTTGAGCAAATAAATAAAATAAATTCAACATTACCACTGGTTTATATGGGACCAATCCTGTAAGGTCTGGTAGCACCCATGGTTTTAGGTCTCCTCGGGGGTCCTTGGGAAGTGTCCTGTGTGGGTCAGGAGGGGCCACTGCAAGGACCTTTTCCCGGATCCAACAAGGTCATTAGGAAACTGTCCCTCCGTGCTGCCATTCTCCAAATCTGTAACCTCATTTCCAGTCATCAGAAAACCACAGGAAACCCAAACTAAGGGACATTCTGTAAGTAGCTGGCCATTCTTCTTCAAAATGTTAGTATTTGCTGGGCCTAGTGGCTCACACCTGTAATCCTAGCTACCCAGGAAGATCTGAGTATCACAGTCTGATGCCAGCTTGGGAAGGAAAGTCCATGAGACTCTTATCTACAATTAACCAGCAAAAAAGCTGGAAGTAAATCTGTGGCTCAAGTGGTAGAGCGCTAGCTTTGAGCAGAAAAGTTCAGAAACAGCACCCAGGTCCTGAGTTCAAGCCTGAAGACTGACACAAAAATAACAACAACAACAAAAAACCAGTGTGGCAAAAAGATGTGGATGTCCTGGGCTGGGGAAAGGTAAGAAGTATGATAAGGAAATGCAACATGATATCTTGAATTGAACCCAGAAATACAGCAGCCAGGGGGAAACCTGGAGAATATGGCTGCAGTCCAGAACATAGGTAACATTAATACACCAATGCTAATATCTTTGGATAATGACACCATGTCTATATAAAATGTTACATGGCAGGGGGCGGATGAGGGCAAAAACATGTGGGAACTATACCAGCCTTATAACTCTTCTGCAAATCCAGAGCTATTTCAACATTAAAAACACTTCACACACATCCTGGAGGGTTCTTTGGTCTCTTTCAGTGAGTTATCAGGTAAATTAATATGAGCATGTATGCTTTCTATTTTGTGCTTCTGAGTATGGCCTTTTGTTTTTCTTGTTTTTGAAAAGTAGCCTTGATAATGAAAAGTAACTCCATGTAGACTTGCTGTTGTAGGTTTGAACTCAGAGCCTTGTGCTCACTTGCTCGACTGGTACTCTACCACTTGATCTCTGGCCCTGTTTTCCCTAAATATTTGGGAGATGCTATCCAGTGGACGCTTCTGCCTGGGCTGGCCTTGAGCTGCCAGCCTCTGGACCTCAGCCTCCTACGTAGCTAGGAGTTAGGTGTGAGCCATCAGCACTCAGCTTCCATTTACATGGCTCTTTGGGAACACAGTGGGGAGACAAAATGATCCAAAATCTGATGCAAAAAGAGAGAATACTTTGGGGAACCAAGGTTCCAAGAACTTTGTGTGCGAGGGTACTATTTCAGCACACGGAGTGTGAGGGCACTATTTTAGTACATACCAAGTGTGTGCTATTTCAGCACACTGAGTGTGTAAGGGTGCTATTTCCATACAAGCTCAATGTATAAGGGCTCCATTTCCACACACTGAGTGAGCGAGGGTGCTATCTCGGCACAGCCAGTGTGTAAAGGCACTATTTCAGCACAGCGAGTGTGTGAGGGTGCTATCTGGGCACAATGTGCTATCTCTGCACACCAGATATGTGAGGGCACTATCTGGGCCCTGGGGTGTGTCATGGGAAGGAGGGATGACGCCAGCACACAGCACCATCACTCACCAGGGCGACTCTCTTCTGTGGCTTCAGCAGCTTTGGTTTGTGGAACGTGGCAACTATTGGAGCTGTGGAAAGAGATCAAGGTTAGTTTACAAGTTTCCCTGGTGTCTCAGTGTTGACCTATCATGAATACCACTGAGCTACTGTGTGCCAATTGGAAGATCCCTTGGAAGAGCTAGTGTCTGACCTGGGTACCCCTGGACTCCCTCCCTGGGGTGGAGAAGGAGTCCTTTGCCCAATCTCTGTGCGTGGCATCATCTCCTTGGAGCCAGGTCAGCGCGCGGCTCTGGGTAAGTCATTTCATGAGGTCAAGGAACTTGATGCACTAAGGGCAGGGTCTTCTCCTAGAAGCCGTCCTGGCTGCTCACAGGCCCAGGAAACAATGATAGTCCTCACATAGCCTATGACGTCTGCAGGGAGGTTTGTGTATATGTGTAGATGTATACATATGGTATATATACATGCACGTGGCGGGGTAGCTCCCTGTGTCCTCATTTTTGTCTTTCGTAAGGTACGGTAACAGCCACTCTATACTGCATGCAATGGCCAGCGTTGTGAACTTGGCCAGGCCAGTTATACTCTGCTCCCTTCCCTCCTCAGGTCTGTGGTTCTCACACTCCTCAGCCTTCATTTTGCATCTTCCAGTTGTAACCCTACTAATACCAGAGGCCATAAAGGGCCCCTAAGAGATGTCCTTTACACACCAAGTGATTAAATTGTCCATCTATTAGAAAGAATGATAATGCATCATTTGCAAAGAAATGGAAGGACTTGGAAAACATCATGTTAAGTAAGTCAGAGAGACAAAGGACACATATTTTCTCTCATATGTGGAAGCTAGAATTCATTTATAAATACAAGCGTAAACACTTCAGGGTGGTATGCAATGCACATAAATGTATTAACCCAAATATGAGGGGAAAAGCCAGTGTAACTCCTTAGAAAGGCTAACTCACAGTCCAGCAAAACAACACCAGAAAATGAGAACTCGAAAAGGTGGGACAGGATCGAGGGGAGCTGTGGTAGATGAGGGGAAAATGCAGTCATAGAATCCAATGCACATCCTACAAAATTGAGAAAAGGGAGGGAAGGTGGCTTTGGGAGGGATGGGTGAGAATGTTTAAAAGAGTGACATTGATCAAGATGCATTGTATTCATAAACAACTCCTTTGTACAACTACTCAACAAAATACAAGTATTAAATTAAAAGAACTGTCCACCTGGGAAATCCTTGTATTCCCAACTCTATTTCATATTTGTTAAGATAAACAAGTGAATTGGACAGTTATTTTAGCAACTATCTACAGATAGTCTTGGTTGACTCTAAGATTTGTGGATCTTTTTATACCCACCTTGAAATATGCCTATATTCTCAGTCATGTTGCTATAAATCAAAAGTGGAATCACAGAGCTGGGCACTGGTGGCTCAATCCTATAATCCTAGATACTCAGGAGACCGAGACATGAGAATAGCAGTTCGAAGACAACCCAGGCAGGAAAGTCTGTGAGACTCTATGTCAAAGCCAGAAGTGGAGCCGTGGAGCTCAAGTGATAGAGCAATAGCCTTGAGCACAATACCTCAGGGACAAGTGGCCAGGCCCTAAGTTCAAGTCTCAGGACCAGCAGACACACAAAAAGTGGAGTCACAGAATAACCCTCAGATTCCTCTCCAGGAAAAACCTCAAATGCTCTGCTGACCTGGGTGACATGTTTACACAGAACTTCTATTCCCTCAGTGGGTCAAGAAGATGCTGCCACTCCTACCCACGCCCCACTGTTCTAAAATGTGTAGACCATTTGAAAAATTCCAAGTAACTATAGCACGTACTCCTCTGTGCCAGGCCAACCTTCCCTGGCCAGACTCATGTTGGGCCCACGATGCCACCTCTGTCCCACTCCAAAGGCCATCCTGAGGGCGGGGATGGCTGAGCACCTCGGTGTGCCACACCCCAGTGCCCTGTAGCATAGGACATGCTGCTCTTGTCCCATGCGCAAGCCCAGGCCCACCTCCACTCAACCACGGCCTCTTCCTCTCAGGGACTCTCAGGCCTGTTTCTTACCTTTGGCAGGGACTGCAGGGGGGACATCGGCCTTCTTCTCCTTCCGCCTCTTGCCCTTCTTGGGCTGCAGTGGGGCCAAGCTGGTCACACTGGTGACGGTCTCCCCCGAGCTGTGGAGGCAAAAGGCCCTTGGTGAAGCCAAAGTCTCGTGAGATGTTGGGAAGCAGAAAGAGAAATGAACAGCAGTTTCTAGTAGTTTCCAGCATTCTAGCTGGAGAGGGGATGCTCTGTGCTGATCTCCAGGTATGGCGGCAGGTCTGCTGCTGACTCTCGGCCGAGGAGATGAGTTAGCATGCCATCTATGAAGTGCTGTGTAAAGTTCCAGATGTCCATGGAGAGAGCAGGGTTAGCTTTTCTATACAATCTACAGATGGGGGAGCCAGTGGTTTAGATCTGGTTGAATTGGCTATACTGGCATGGCTACCTTCCAGGGCGATGGGAAAGATGTTATTAGGAAGTTCTCTTTGAGCTCCCCTAAGATCATATTCCTCATCCCAAATCAGAGCACGTCCAAGGTACTTCCTGGGAGCTATACCCCGAAGTCCTTATCCTCCCCCAAGTCTCCCCCTCCTCCCCTCCCCCCCCCATGAGTACTGAGCTCCCTTCTGCTATATCTTCACCTTTAGCACAGGCTCAGTGAGCTTACCCTGAGAAGGGGCCTCTCTCCAGTGAGCTGACTGTGTTGGAAATGTAGCATTGGTTTCTTACTGTATGTTATCCGTGTTAGTCCAATGTGACAGGACAGAGAGCTTTACATTACATTATACATACAAAAGCCAATGCTCACAGAGGCTACGTAGCTGCTCTGAGCAACACTGGCACCACGCAGTGGACAGGTAAGATAAACCTCTATGTGAGGATGGAGCCCACAGACCTCCTGGAATGCCCATCAGTTCTGCTCCAAAGGTCTCCTATATGCTAGCAACCTGGAGGAAAGCCCCCTTCAGGATCTTCTATCCTTGGGCACAGATCGCAGGAAAAGTATGGTGTACTAGAGGAGGCCACCTCCTCAAACCATAAAGAAATTTCCTGAAGTAGCCAGGCACTGGTGATTCACACCTGTAACCAAGGCTACTCAGGAGTCTGAGATCTGAGGATCACAGTTGGAAGCCAGCCTGGGCAGAAAAGTCCACAAGACTCTTATCTCCAATTAACCACCAAGAAGCCAGAAGTAGAGGTGTGACTCAAGTGGCAGACTGTCAGTCTTGAGCTAAAAAGAGAATCCCTGAGTTCAAGTTCTAGTGCTAGCATACACACACAAAAAGTTTCCTAAAGTCCCTAAGATTGGGACCAAATTTAAGACAAAATACTTTGTTTTTTTTGCTCACTGGGGTTTGAGATTGAAATGCTGCCAATAGTTTGAATTGTGTTCTGTAAGAAAATATTGGGTTATTTTTAGAATGTGTGGAAATATAAAGATGTCAGCTTTTTAAAATTCATGTTTGGTTGCTAGGATTTTTCTTTTTTCTTTTTTTTTCTTTTTTTTTTGGGGGGGGGGGTCCAGTTGTGGGGCCTGAACTCTGGGCCTGTGCGCTGTCCCTCAGCTCTTCAGCTCAACGCTAGCACTCTACTACTTGAGCCACAGCGCCACTTCCGGCTTTTTTCTTTTTGCTTATGTAGTGCTGAGGAATCGAACCCAGGGCCTCAAGCATGCAAGGCAAGCGCTCTACCACTGAGCCACCTTCCCAGCCCCTAGGATTTTTCTTTAAAAAATACTTTGAAGTAACTTCATTTAAAAAGAATATATTCTCAAATTTACTTTCATCTGCATAATCTGGAAATAGTCACAAAAAAATTTTTAAAAATAAAGCCAGACCCTGGTGGCTCACACCTATGGTCCTAGCTACTCTGGAGGCTGAGATCTGAGGACTGAGGTTGAAAGCCAGCCCAGGCAGGAAAGGCCATGAGACCCCTACCTTCAGTTAACCAGTAAAAAGCCAGAAATAGAGGTATGGGTCAAGTGGTAGAGCACCAGCTTGAGCAGAAAAGTCAAGCAAGAAAGTAAGGTCCTGGTATCCAACACAAAACAAAACAAACAAAACAAAAGAATTTAAAAATAGTATTTCTTGAGAATTAAGATGCTGAGGGACTTAACCAATAGCAGATAGGACAGAAAGAGTTACCATTGGATTCAATTACAAGTAAATGCAAATAAAAACATATACATAGTTATGATGCATTATTCTAATAACAGACTAGATATTTAAAAACAAATAAATGAAGACTGAATCTCACAGTGTGGGAAAACTTCCAAGAACCTAGTTTCCAGAGAGTTTCATCAAGGTCAGCATATTTTTGTTGGGAATAGAAAGGTTAACTGGTCCTAGATTTAGAGGGCTCCTGGTGTCAGTTCTCAAACAGCTGAGAAGAATGTGAGTTTACAAAACTCTGCTAAGAGCAAACAAGGGATTAGAAGCTCTTAGAAGTGCTTAAATACACAAATACATGTTCAGCTTAGCTTTGTAAACTCTTAAAATGTTTATTATTTTTTCTTTCCAATATAAAGTAATGCAGACTCCTGGTTTAGGTATGAAAATAAAAGGAAGTAACTAGTATGACCATACACAACGTTTGAAGATAGTTCCACAGTTCTACACTATTTTTATGTGTGTGTGTATGTGTGCGTGTGTGTGTGTGTGTGTGTGTGTGTGTGTGTGTGTGTGTGCGTGCACTAGGGCTTGAGCGATATCCCTTAGTTGTTTTTTTTGCTCAGGGCTGGTGCTGTACTACTTGAGCCACACTTCCACTTCTGGCTTTTTGGTGGTTAATTGGAAATAAGATTATCATGGACGTTTATACCTGAGCTGGCTTTGAATGCGGATCCTCAGATTTCAGCCTTCTTAGTAGTGCCTGGCTTATTTGAAATTTTTAGTTTGCATTTTTAATAGACTTATTTTTGGAGAGGTTTTAGGTTTACAGAACAATGGAGTAGAGGGACAGAGATTTTCCAAATTCTCTCCCTTGCATACAGTATGTCCACCCTTCCCCAATGTGGTACATTAGTTGTGTGTGTGTGTGTGTGTGTGTGTGTGTGTGTGTGTGTGTGTGTGTGTGTGTGTGTGTGTGTGTGTGTGTATGAGCTTCCAGAGGTTTGAACTCAGGGTCTCACACTCTGGTTTGCCTTTTTTGCTCAAGGCTGGTGCTCTACCAATTGAACCACACATTACTTATGGCTTTTTGGTGGTTAATTGGAGAAAAGAGTCACATAGACTTTCCTGAATGGCTGGCTTTGAACCTTGATCCTCAAATCTCAGCCTCCTGAGTAGCTAAGATTACAGGTGCGAGCCACTGGCACCTAGCAAGAGTGGTGCTCCTCTTGATACACTTTCCATGGCTTTGGACAAAGTATGGTAACATGTCAGCCCCACTCTGCCCCTTGATACTACACGGAACCACTCCATCATGTGTGTAATGCACCTGCCACCATTTACTTGGCATCTTGGATTGGTTCTCATGGATTTTCATGCACCTTTCCTATCCCAATATTTATTGCAAACATTTCCTCGAATTCCTTTTCCTTCTGAAATCTTTTCCTATCTCTCTTTTGCCTGTGAGCTCAGATAATCTCTCCCATCATACTTCATAGACTGAAAGGTCAATTGTTATTTCCATCTCCTTTTCTCTTTTCTTGCGTTTAATCTTTTAGCTCTTTCCTATATTAAAAAATGAAAGTTTCTTGAACATCACTGATAATGAACTTATGTCATCATGCCCAGGGCTTTCAGTAAGCAGGAGAAAAAAAAAATCTGCATTGTCATCATCATTTTTTTTCCTTCTGAATAGTACAACTGCACTAAACTAAATTTAGCTCTAATTCATAGTTCAACAGTGAGACCCCATACACACAAGTGAGTCACCCCGGAGACATAATGTTACTGACGCTCCTCCCAGCCCAAATCCGGTCTTTCTCCATTTTGCCAGCAGGGCTGGGTCCAAGTTCTTTTGACTAAGAAAGCCTACCTTATTATTAACTTACAAGCAAAAGTTATCCTGAATCTCAGATGGGAACAGAGCTGGATTTTGTCTCGGACACAGAGAGTGAGTGTTGCTGGTGCCAGAAAGGATGGAAACCAGGAAGTATGGGAAACATGGCCCCGGAAATTCCCTCAAAATTAGAGAGTTTGTGTGACCAGCAAGAAGTGAAGTGTTTGTGAGGCGCTTGTTGTTAAGCTGGGCTGGGTTTTTTGTTTGTTTGTTTCTGGCTCTAACAAGGGCAAAGCAAGAGGCAGCACATGTAGGACTCTTGCAGGAGAGCAAGAGCTGTGTATTGTTGTTGCCTGGCCACCTTCCAGAAGGAGTTTCCATCCCACAAAGGCTTTCCCCTCCTCCATGACCCATGGTGCCCAGATATATGGTGAATGGGCAGTGGGCAGGGGGTAGAAGGCCTGTAACAATGCTCGTTCCAGTCTAACTGGAGATGACCAGACACTTATTTCCTTGGACCTTCACATCCTTAATCTGTAAAATGGGTGACCTGTCCTTTTACTATCTCACAGAGTTATTACAGATTTTGTTTGTTTTTCCTCTTTCTGGTCATTTGGCTTGAACCCAGAGTTTGGGTGCTGTCCCTGAGCTTTTTTTGCTAAAGACTAGCACTCTACTACTTGTGCCACAACTCCACTTCCAGCTTTTTGGTGGGTCATTGGAGGTAAGAATCTCATGGATTTTCCTGCCTCAGGCTGGCTTTGAACTGTGATTCTCAGATCTCAACCTCCTGAATAGCTAGGATTATAGGGGTGAGCCACTAGCGCCTGGATCACAGTTATTATAAAAGTTAGCTTAGATGACAGGGCCTGTATGAAATGGGACAGGATGAGCTAGCCTCCGAGTCTCATCCAGCATGTGGGTAGCAGGGAGGACATCTCACAGAGGCCCTGGGAGTGTGACGTTTCGCAGTTCCCCTGCTTCAGCCTTGAGAGAAAGGCTACACGTTTCAATGCAAACCTTGGTCAGAAGTCTTTCTTCTGTATATAAAAACAGAATGTGTTCCCCGACATGGCTATTCACAGATGCAGTGGTGCCAAGCAAGTGCCAGCACAGGGCAGACCAGGCAGGAATAAGGAGAGAAGCTATGCCCCCAAGCAATGGACTGCTACCCCCAAGACACCAG